AAGGATTCATATTAAATGGACATTTGAAGAAGATATTCAATAATGCAACAAAACAAATAATGATCTCTCATTGTCTTAACGGTTAAACTGGGAGACTATGTTCTAAGCTAAGATTTATTAAATTATGATAGAGTTAATTATCATCTTGTCATTAGAGATTAAACGATAATGAAATAGTTTCCAAAAGATTGTGCATTAACTCTTTTCATAAGACTGAAAAGTTTTTAAGAATATAAACTGTTTGTGAAAGGGCAATTCTTAATCCAAAACCAATCTTAACAGTTCTTTCTAGTTAACAAATAAGTATTGACAGCTTTGTTAGTCTATATATCTACATCTGAGCTCAGTTCTACCGGCTCAGTACCGGTTCTTTGAACGGCTGGGTCAACGTTCCGGAGCCACTCGTTAATCCCGAACACCAAGTGCCGTTCAATATCTCTCAAAGAGATTTCATAAACAGGTCTTAACGGGTTACAACAACAACAACTAATTCTTATCTGAATATACTTTCATCCTTGTGGAATAGGAACACAATAGATCTACAGATAATAGTATAAAACCCTCAACTTAATAATCATTTATTAAAGTAATTAAATTATACATTGAATATGAATATTAAATATAAATATGTATTGCGTATAAGTTTCCCTCGCAAATTATACTTAATTTAATAACATAGTAAGTCATTTTGTTTATGCATACAGCCAATGTTCAACTTAATTCTTGTATATATTTTATACTGTTAAGTAAACAACAGTTAAAGTGTCATTTAACAAGACCTAAAATGTAAAATGCTTGCAGAAACTAAATGGTACAAGCAAAAATTTGGCGAATAAATGAACCGTTTCGTTAAGAGAAATCTTCAAAAACCACTGCATAAACATTTTTAATGGTGAAGCATTACATGAAATACTACATGAACTTAAATGAAAATCGAGACTTTCAAAAATTAGAATTTCTATGCAAAATTTTTTTCTCTATATATAAGAAAGCTTATTCTACATAAGTTTTAATTAGAACATACTTTTAAATCAACTATTTTTGAGGAATTAAAACTATGAAGTTGGTAAAGAAACGAGAATGATTATAAAAGTTCCTAATTTATTACTTTTAACAAAAACTTCTTAAACTAATTATCTTATATAGTGTATACCTTATATGCCTAATTACTTCTCAATGAGTTCACAAAATGTCTTTATTTTCAAAAGTAATTGCACAAAAGATGACGCATTCTACGTACAGAAGGAGTATGCGTCAACAGAGCTTGAATAAAGATCCTTCGGCAAAATTTCAAATGAAAATTAGTTCAAGAGAAGATTGAAGAACATTGAAATTCCTAAAAGTTAATAAAAACTATTAAACGCACACATATTTCCGTTTACACATTAAAACGCACGCATCAAAATTTTCTGCATTTTGAATTCTTCAAAATGAAGTTGCATGTCCTTACGCCTTTACGTATATGCGTTGCGTTGCGATGCGTTGCGTTTGAAATTTTCTGTGAAGGCAAATTAGTTGCCTGCAAAAGTTGCTTATTACTTTGGTTGATGTGCAGAAAAAACCAAAAACCGAAAACCGAAACTGAAGATATTTCGGTAACGTTGTCATAACTGAGAATTTTGCAAAGTTAAAGTTAAATTGTTTCAAAAATTTGGAAAGCAAATGTTGCCAGAAGGAAATGCAGATTTGCTGCAGCAGTTCACATTGAAAGTGGGTTGGAGTAGCGAACGGATTAGAATTTTCATAATGGAAAATTTACTTTGCATTTCAGTCTGTTTCGATATTTTCTTGCTGCTCCGGGAAAGTGGAAATTTAAAACTTCCATTTAAATGCATATGAAAATCATTCGGATTATTTACTTTCATAAAAATGGGTGTGTGTTTAGTGTAAAATTCAGTGAAATAACGAAATTTCGCTTTGTTTGCATTTCTTTATGTAAATCACATTTTCGGTTGTTGACTCGGAAATTGAATGAATTTTATACAAAAGCAGTTTAACGCTAAATTCCGCAATAATTGTTTAGCATGAACGTTAAGTGGTGATATTACGAGGACCCGAGGTTTTTGCTAAAAGCATTTTTAAATATTTTACAGCTTTCAAGAATACTTAAAGAATTTAAAATAATTTTTAGAAAAAGTCAAAATATGAAAAAAAATTATTATTTTACTTAATTTGTATTATATTTTGTTACATACACTTTATTTTATTTCAATTGATTTAAATTGAAATACAAATGATAAGATAGTCGATGCCGACACTTGATTCTGATCATATCTAAACTAATTGAAGAGACAATCAGTGCCTTAAGTATTATTATTACTATTAGTATTATAATACTCTAATTATATTTATATAACTTTGTGCTGCCCCTTCGAGCTTTCTGCCCCAACCACCATCATATTCATATGTACTCTTTAATACTCTTTTTGAAGTTTTTGAAATAATTTGACGTCTCTTCTGTGCTACATAGTGTTCAATATGAAAGAATATGAAGGAATATAACGTGTGTCCTTCTGCATGGCAGGGATAAGCCAGAAAAGAGTAAAAGTGCGCAATAGCACTAACTCAAATCACAACAAAAATAACAACAGATCAAATTATAATAAAAACGACATGACAATACATGATGACATGATGACGATAAAATAAAAATGATCCGGCACATATTTTGTATAATAAAAAGATATGTATTATGTTATAATTAGTATAATACTTATATATAATTATTTCATTATAATACAATCTTGACAGAAAAAATTCCTTGTCATTAAATTAATTTTGTTCGTCTTCTCAACAGTATTTTTCCTAGTTTTTCGCAGAAGTATGTCAAAATAAAAATATTGAAAACATACGTAAAAAGGAGGTAGTTTTGTATCTCTTTATAAAACACTTTATCAAAATAAGCTCTGCTGAATAAACTTTGAACTATTTTATACTATTAGTATTATCTTTAATCACAAAGTTTAATGAAACATGAAATGAAAAAATGAATCGTGAACTTATACCATTTATATACATAGTTGGAATAAAATTAACTAACTATTAATAATATTATTTCAAAATAAACAGCTCAATCTTGAAAGTTTAATATGTTTTCTATATGTCCAAAATGTTTGGACATCTATCAAACTTTTGCCTGTGTATAAGCTTAACACGTTAGGCCACATATCGAGTTCAGTAGATTAGGTATTATTGGTATAAATATACATAAGAAAAGTCAATGTTATATATGGGGATGAAATAAAACTTGAAAAAATCACATTGAAAAAATTGAAACCATGAAATTATGTTCAGTTTCTGGTTACTTTTATATATATCTCATTTTAAAGAAGAAATCAAGGTATTGGTAAAACAAATCGACGGATGAATACCAGAGTTATCAGCAACTGACTAAAGGTACATATATTCCAATTTTACGCTGCTGGATAAAGATAAAATATTTTGATTATTTTTTCTAACTTTTCCTCATTTCTTAACCATGCCGTATTGTATAAGCAATTTAGATTTGTAATACTTGATATATAAACAAAATGTTTTAAATTATTAACTCTTATCTATAATTTTCTGTAATTGGCTCTTTTTTAATTTATTAGAATGTGTTCTCGGAAGACATAATAACAAAAATTTGGCACAAAATCGTAAAACATAAAATCATTTCTTAATTGTTTTCACATTTTATTGTTTAATTTTAATTGTTCACGTTATTTGGTTAACTTATCGCTACACGCCTAGTATCTATATATATCTTTAATACTGTATGTTCTCTACACTGTAATTTCATATTCTTTAAAATTCAATATTTTTTTAGATAAAAGGCATGAGAAGTTCTAGGCTTTTGAACTGTTGTTTATTCACGTTTCATACATGAAATGAACTTGTAGATAAATATTGTCTACCAATGTAATAAAAATATGACATTTAATTAAAAACAAATTAATTTTTTAATTCGAACACATATGATGACAAAGTAACTCAAAATTAATAACAAAATAAGCATTCAGTCAATATGAATGTGGGTTAAGGTAAAGTTCGCTCACCTATATTCTTAAGATACAAGGTGTTGTATGTTCAATGCATAATTACTGTCAGTATGAAATTTATGATACATAATTTACAACAAGCAAACACAATTGAGTAAATATAAGAGTAAATTCTTTTATTTATACAATTATTAAAAAATAATATATAAACAACAATTTTAACATTTAACTTATTTTTGCTAAATTATTTTAGCAAACATTTTTTTCTTTTGAAGAAAATTAAGTTAACTTAAACATTTTTATAAGCAGTTAAATTTATTGAGATAAAGGAATTTTATCTTATTAGAACTGCATATACAATACTGTCATTGTTATAAAGAATAAATTGTATTTTAAACTAAATAAATACTTTTAACTTAATTTCTAACTTAACCAAAGTGCTCTAATATATGTATTACTCTATAGTAAGTATTTTAATTCGATAAACCAAACAAATTATATACTTTTTGACGAAAGAATCCAAGTTTATTACTCTGCTGCTGCCTATTGCGTTCCTCTTTCAAAACTAGCTTATTTGCAATCCAGTTATTTTTATTTTCTACAGCATTGGGACCCCATTTACTGCTCGGCTTAATATTTTTTCGTAATGTCTATTGAAATAAATATTTATAAAATAATAAATATAATTGAATAAATTAAATATAATAAAAAACAACATACGTTTAATAAATTATTATCGTAATGCGTCCACAAATACCAAATGCCCCACAAAGGAAACTGTGAAAGTCCAATTATAAATAGAAGCCATCCAGCGACTGAAATTTGAAATTATACATATACACACAAACATATATAATATTATAATGAAATATCAATAAAAATGTTTTAGTACCATTTCCAGCAGTAGGATATTCCTCACCACTATACGTAAGTGGCTTAATTGTTACCATGGAATATATAAATATGAAAGCCATTAGCACTGGTGTTAAAAATGCCCAACATATACGCCAATAGACTGTCACTTTTCTATTTGTCATAAATTCTATATCATCACATAGATTTTGTAAACCTAGAATTAGTATATATTAAAACAATTAATTACTTAAACAATTTAATAGCTCAGTGTACCATAAATCCAAGCAATTCCAACCATTTCCAAAATTGCTAAAACAAAAACAACATAAGTGCCACCATAAAAATCAACTAAATTCAGTATCCATTGACCACCCTGAAAATAATTAAAGAATTCATATATAAAATATATCATTTTCAGAGATATTGTTTGACTTACTGGAGTGACGTATACTAAACCTAATAAAAATCCGCAAATAGAAGTTATCAGTGCTACTTTCCAATATTTTATTGATTTGAATTGATCACAGATTATTGTAACGATAGTGCTTTGAAGTGCAACAATAGAGCCAACTCCCAAAGTAAATAGCATAAAGAAAAAAAGCACAGCAAATAATTGTGGTACGGATTCAAATTTGGCAATTGCATCTGGATACGAAATAAAAGCTAAGCCTGTACCACTTTGTACAACCTCTTTTATGCTCGACTTATTCAAATTATGTGCCAAATTTCCAAGTATACTAAAAATAGTTATTCCAGCTAATAAACTTGTAACTGTATCCAAGCTGGTGACAATCATAGCATCTCTAGAAAATGAATAATGTGAGTGCTGTTAAACTTACACAATAATAATATTTTTTATTTACCTATATATACTATGATCAAATCGATTATATGATGAAAACATGACAATTGGTCCAAGTCCAACAGCTAAAGAAAAGAAACACTGCACAACTGCTTCCTTCCAAACCTGATAAAATGATCACTTTATTTATTCTTTCTTATATATTTTAAAATAAAATGTTTTTACTTTAGGATTTAATAGTTCGGCCCATTCGGGTTTTAAGAAAAATATGATACCATCAACTGCTCCCTCCAATGTAACGCCTCTTATTAACAATGTTACTAAAACAACATATGGAAATAATGCTAGAAAGTAAGCCACTTTGCCGGTGCTTTTGACACCACGCATAATAACCAAAAATATAACAACCCAGGAGACAAATAATGAAATCGTTAATTTCCAATCGGGAATTCCCAGACCATCCGTTATGTCAAGTTTTTCATGTACAACCTCTTTTCTAAAACAAAAAATAAAAAAAGTAAGAAATAAAAGTTGATAAGAAATAATTTTACTTCCTCGATTAAATACGTACACATATATTTTTATAAAGATTGAAGTAAAAAATCTTCACTTTAATACTCACAAAAAATATAATTCAGAACTACTCCGCAATGAAACAGAAGAGTTTGGTTTTATTTGGTCACTATTTGGTTTAGAGTCTACACAACCCTCTCCCCATTCTTCACGACAATATGCCCAAGGTAAATCTGTTTGACACGACATAACCATATAATATAAAGTGAGTGCAATAAGTGATGAATAATAAGTAATAATGCAAATGGTTGCAAAAGCCTGTCCATATCCGACACCTGTTATAAAAATAAAATTAATATGCATCAATAAAAATATTAACAATCATTAATATTACTAACTAAACAAAATCATTAATATACATACCTAAAAACATTGGACACATGGACCAAATTTTTACCGATCCCTTACTAGTAAATTGTCCCAAAATCATTTCCAGATAATACATGGGTTTACCTAAACCAATAATGTTATTAAAATTTTCTAAAAATACATATTATATATTTTTAATTACCAATAACGAATAATACAACAATATAGGGTATGAGGAAAGCACCGCCTCCATTTTCATATGCGGTAAAGGGAAATCTCCATATGTTACCCAATCCAACCGACATGGATATGCACGACATAAGAAATTCAACACCATTTGACCAATTTGGACGTTCTCTCGTCTCTTTGTCTTCATTTTTATCTGAAAGCTTTAGACAAAGTTATAATTACTAATGAGTAAAAAAGTTTAGAATTGTTTGGATAATATATATATATTTCATATATTATATAGATTAAATTTTTATATATCAACGAAGATTACCAAAAATTATGAATTTATCTAACTTAAAAAATTTAACGTTTCATTGTGTTTTTCTTTGAAAAAATAGCGCTATTTGTGTATTTACTCATTATTAATTAAGATTATGACATTCTAATCTGGGAAATTGTATCAGCAGTGGCGTAACTGAATAGAATGAGTAGAGCGGAACTCCCTTTGATCTTCAAAATATTTAAATTTCAATACATTTAAAGAAAGATAAAATAAGATACAATATATCATTAAAGAACATTAGATTTCATCCTGTAATACTTTTGCACAAAACAATTTCTATCAACCTCAGTAATTGAATCAAACCATAAAATACGAGTACTATCCAATTCCAAAACAAAGTATTTCGGGACATTATAAATGCCTCATACTACATACAAAATAATGATCTCCATAGCGATCCTGACATGTCAGCAACAATTAATAACTCATAAATAAATAGATAATTGGCAGCGAATACCAGAAATATCAAGAGACAGCCAGAATCTTCAAGAGTGAAGTTAGAACAGCGAGAAGAAAAGAAAGACCGAGGAAGAGATGGAGTGACAGTGTTTGACAAGATCTATTTCGAAATTTATTTGTTATAGAGATATGTATATTAATACAGAACGATAAAGTATTATATACATGAGAAGTATTCGAAATCAGATTTACCTCTCCTCTATACACGAGCGATAAATACAGTATCTGCATAAATCATGTCCTATATGTGTGCATAATTTATTTATAAATTAATATTGATTGTTATTTATCACCTATTATTCATAATGATATATATATTATATATAAATATTATATATCCATAAATTATATACTATACGCTCTTATATGATAAATAAGAGCAGTGACATTTTTTATCAATTTAATATTCAGCAGCTTTGCAGTCTCAATAACATCTTGAGAACTGAATATTATAATTAATATTAATTAATATTATCTTTTAAAGTAAAAAGAGAGCTTGCCGTAAGAATAAATATAAACAACATCAACTTCAGTTAGTAAAGTAATTAAATGAGCCATTGCCAATGTTCTAATTACAAATTGCAGAAAATATTTATTATTGTTCTATCTTTCAGTCAAGTAGTTACAAGTTTCAAATTAATAATTAGTTTACAATATTTTTATTTTTAATTTTTTATATGTATTGATGAATTTACCCAGTGGCATATATAAAGATAAAGTTCTGGGGTACGACTTCACACCGCTTGAATAATTCAAACCATTTCACTTAATAGATTAATATAATTGATTTTTTTATTTAATTGTTTTCCTATGCACTTTTAATTATCTTTCAAAACCATAATAAGCTACTACGTTCTTTAACTGGGGTTCGGTTTCTCTACATCAACTTAAATGAATTTCATTTATAGAAATCAATTTTTATTAAACAACATTGTTGCTGTTGTAAATTTGTTATTTGCATTCTGGGCTGTGTTTGTTTTTGCTTAGTTGATACTTCTTCTCCTGTTGTTTCATCTCAAAGCAACAACTTGCATAAGTGTTAATAGTATTTTTGATCCATGTGTTTTTTTAATTATGCTAAAGTTTCAAATTGTACGTACATCAGAAAAATATAAGACAACTTTTTTCATTTTAATAGTATTTTAAGATCGTTATATTTTTTTAAATATACTTAAGTTCCGAATTTAAAGTACATACATTAGATAATAAAAGATTTTCCTCACACAGATTTCAGACTTTATGTGGAACGTATTTTCATATATATATTTGTATAATTTTTCATATAAAGATAAGTACTTCCTGCTCCAAATTTCATTTGAATATCTTTATTGATAAGTGATAAAACTAATTTTCAATTGTTCAGTTTATATGTCAACTATAGAATATAGTTGTCCGATTTTCGCTAATTCAACTTATGATTAGCGTTCAATGAATGCAACAGAGTTTGTATGCAAATTTTTATTCGAACAGCTCAAAAACTGAAACTGTTTGTAAAATATATATATAATATTTCATGAAGTCTGTGATGTTTTATTCAAGATATTCAAAAAATCTTGACAAACCTTGTATACCCTTTTTACAATTTTTTGTATAAGAAGAATAGATAGAAGCGAACTAAAAAAACTGTAATAATAGATAGAATAAAGGTTATGACAAGATGCCTCAATATCTGGAGAACTAAACTATGATAGCAGCTCCCAACGGAGTGGTGCACTGAGACCATGGTTGATCTTTTGTGCTGCAACAGACCCTAACCCAACAGAAGGTATTCCGCCTTCTACATGAAAGCCAGAATGTCGGTCGTTAGCTACCTCCTAATGTCAGAAGGGGAGAGCAGTTCTCGACTCAGTGACCTCTTCCTGGCCCAGATCAAGTCTGGGCAGTCACAGAGAATGTGACTGGGAAGTCTCGTCTACTTCTAAGCTCTCTATGTCGGTACATAGAGTAGCAGAAAAAATTGCTTACAATAGGTGACTTTATTATATGCGCTTTCACATTAGTACATGCTAGTCATAGAAATCTAGCTTTAGTAGGAATATTACAACAAGAAAATGAATTTCATTAGTTAGAGGCTTATAAAACATTTTTAAAAATAAAAAATATTTTAAAAATATAGTTTTTACTATATTTTTTTTTATTTAAAATCTCGAATTGAAAGATTTATATTATAAAATATTTGTTCACAAAATGTCCCCCTTCAAAATATTTCCCTTCTCCGCCGTTAGACACTTTTTTTAATAATTGTATCTAAGATACATTTAACATTATTGCCTTAGTACGTCACTGTACATTGGTAAGCACTAATAATTTAACTGTAATCTTAAAAAAAATTGCAGCTGTGTATATACAACTCAAAAGTCTAGTCCAAGCCGTTCTTAATTAAGATACTGTAAAATGCAAGTACACACTTAAGATATTTAAATTACAATTTGTTGTATATTTAATCGTTTGAAGGTCGGCGATAGTAAAATTAATAGGAAATACATTTTGCATTCACTAAGTATCTGAATCACATAGCGCACAAAGCCAGAACCGGTTTTTTTTCGTGACTTACTAAAATCTCATCACACAAAATTATTAGTCGACTAATAATTTATGATATTTAAAAATAAATTAATCACCATAATTATTAGTTACTATAATTAAATTTTGAAGCTCGTTGGTTAAACTATATTTTTAGTTTATTAAAATAGAAATTGTAATTTAAATTATTTTAAAAAAGAGTATTTGGATGCATACTGAAGATAAAATATTGAACTTAACATGCTAATGAACTTATATTCATCAGTGAAATTATTTGAAAAAATTTTATTCTTAAAAATATTGATTGTTATATAGGAAAAGAGACTCAAATATTAATAATACAAACATACAATTTATTTTAAAAATTTTTATCTAACATCACTTCTATTTTAATTGAGATGAAAGTAAAGAATTGTTCTGAAAATTAATATATACGTCATTTCACTATTGAGAGCATAGGAATAATTATTTGATTTTGGTTAATTAATTGATTTTTTGAAGATATATCAAACACTTTCACTTTATAAGTCATACTTTTTTTAATATTATTAAAATTATTAAGTTTTATTTACTCGTATTAATTTATATAACAATATCACAGATATTAAATTAAATGCCACAATATTTGTAACTTTTTCCATAATAGTCATTATTAAGAATACAGTAACTAATTCTTAATTTTATTTTGTATATTTATATATAAAAATTTCATAGATATTTTAATTAAATACCTCAATATTTGTAACTTTTTCCGTGGTAGTCATTATTAGGAATGTAACTAATTCTTAAACTTATAGCGAAGAAATTTTTTTTCGGATTTTGGATAATTAATGTATTTATTTATTAAATTTCAAAATTTTTCCAAGTAAACATATTCTTTAACAATTTATTAAAACAAAGTGTTAGTATTGAAGGTTAGAAATTAACTGAAAGTAATTTCAATCTTCAGCAATGACAACAATTTCGTTTAAAAAACAAACTCAGTCGTTGTTTAACATTTAATAAAAAGCAACAGTAACACAGTTGAAGAGAGAAAGAACAGCAATTTGAAAAAAGGTACAATGTTATGTTATTTATATCTCATTTTTATATATATTATTATCGAAAGTCTTTGAGTTAAATTCTCCAACCGCTATTGGATACTGCCTCATTAAATAGAACTTACAAGTACAGAAATATTCAACATCAACTGCGGTTACATGAGTAGAAGAAAAACCATTTGTACTGTTATTGAAAATCCCCTTTCTGGGATTTCCATAATTCTCTGTTAACATTTTCTGTACAGTTTATTTTCATTGTAGTGAGCTTAGATCATAAACAAATAAATTTTTTTTTTTTTATTCAAAAATGTATAATTTATAAATATATGAATGTATAATATGCATATTTATACTGATTTGTAAAATTATACTGAAACTGTTAAAAAATGTATAATATGCAATTAATTCTAAATTGATATATGCTTGTTAGTTTTTTTACTGATAAAAAACTAGCTTCATAACAGCAATGCCAAAAATTAGATTTCATAAAAAACTTAATTACTTTTATTATTACTTTATTAAGGTAATTAAGAACCCTACCTTTTTTCGATTTGTGATAAGTTTTGATTTTAAGTGTGTTTATTTTTATATGAACTATTAAAATTCATACGTTCATAATTGATATGCATTATTAAATATAAATATTTATAACCAAATATTAGAAAAAAATTTGATTGAATTAATAGCCCCTTCCGAAACCCAACTTATCAGTACCGCCAAAAAAAAATGTTGTTGATCAAGTTTAGAAAATACGTCAGAATAAATTTTTAAAATTCGATTCATTGCTTTCACATAATACGGAAAGGTCAAAAAAACTGTTTTATTAGTAATAAAGTATGTTATAAATTAATATGAGCTAATATTGTTAAGCTAATATAAAGATAATTAACTCAAGTACTTATTAAAAACTAGTAAATAATTCTAAATGAGTTATTTGTGTTCGATATTATCATTAGGTATGAATATCTAGTTTTTGTATCAAAAACTTTATTTTAAATAAAATATTGGAAACAGAACGAATACAATATGAATGGAATGAAGCCATTATACGTAGCGTATATATTATGCTTCAATGTGTACACTACCAAGTTTTCAAAGAAAACTGATCGTGGCAGTTATAAAAACCACACTCTTTAAATTTCAGCGAAAAAATCTTCACAAGTTAATTCTTCACTAGTATGTCAACAAGAACTACTTTTCAGCATAATGCTGTGAATATTTGTTAAAATTATCTAACTCGCATTAATTATTAACCGGCTCTTATATCTGGATTAAAGAAACATTTGTAAGGGTTGGATTGGGTTGGAGTGACGATCTTGTCTACTAAGAAAGTACACTTGAGCTCAAATAATGGTCCGTTGTTATACCATAGGAATAGCACAGAATAGACAAGAAGGTCTGTATACGACTAACGCCGAATAAGGTAACGACTCCCCCATTAGGTAAAGGTTAGTCAACCTGACAATTATATGAATCTGGCAAAGTGCTTAATATTTCAAGATGACAGTTCAGTCAATTTGAAAAGAAAAGGGGCCCCCAAAAATTTTGATCATCTCCTAGCTAAAGGCACTGACACATGAGATCAAACACAGTTTTCTCCTCGTCCTCAGTCACGACAAAGGTCATTATAGAGAAGACGTAGTCTTATAGTACGCCTCCCTATTATGCACCCATACTGTAGTACTAAACAGGTTCCATCTTAATTGAAGTAGTTGACTGGCAGGTTTTTTTTCCAAATTAAACAGCAGGAATCGTCAGCACAGTGTTACTTGGCTATGCTAAGATATTTTTGTTTTATTGCCAGTTTGCTGTTGCATGTGCAACGCCAATATCTGAGAAGTAAAGAAGAATTCCATAAAAAACTTTCTTATAATTTAAATTGAATTATTATTGTACTATTCTATTCGGTTTTTTCTTTAGCTGAGTTTAACGAAAAGTATTCTATCTAAATTATTATGTTATGAATGAAACTTTAATACACCTCATTAATTTTTTTGAACATTTTCTTATCAAAGTTTGTGTGCTAATGATAGGTTTTTGGCAATTCAATTAATTAAAAAATAATAAAATTTTGTTGTTGTGGTTTACTAGTGTCCAAAAACCTTTCTATTAAAACAATAATTTCCATTAAGAAAATAGTTTCATTTGATTTTGAGTGTCTATTAATAGAAAATAGTAGTAATTCACTGATAGATAGTTGTAATTAATCAAATTTATGTTCTTCTGTTTATTCACAATATTAGTTCGACACTTAATACATTTTCTAAAAGAAGTATCTGAATAAAATCGCTTAACATACTTTGTAGTATTCTATAATTGTGCTTGGTTAATATTTGTAGTATTGTGCTTGGTTAATATTTGTAGTATTGTGCTTGGTTATATTAGAAACTATAATATTATATTTTAATTCAAAAGTACAAAAATTAATATAATCCAAATTCGAAAGTCATCTTCTAACTGAGGAGAATTCTAATTCTATAAGAATTATTCTAAAAATATAACGATTAAATGCGATTCAGTATAAAATTGAAAAATTATTAAAGTTTAAAATAAATTCAAATACTTATTATGTTGACTATATAGCGGTGACAATATTCAGCATGCAATATATACATTCATCTTAATGAATTATAGTTATTAAATAAACACTTCCTGTTTTCCTGTTGAACTGCTTCAGAATTTCATGCATCCAACATTTAAACTAATAACAATCGTCAACTTAATAAAGGATCCATTGAACTGTCAGTTTGGTAGGCTGGATAAATGCAAATATTCGTACAGCCTGTAATCCTCATAAAATACATGCAGTAGAGTGTAGTGTGTAGTGTGTATTACAAATACAAGTGTTCAATTTATCAGTTTATCAGTAACATGCATCCTGCAACTACAAGTATCACTAATTTCATGTTGCTACATAATATAAACAGCATTAATGCCTTCAAGAGAAGCGCATTTCACATGTTAATGTGACAGCAGCAGGAGCAGCTCTGGCAGCTCTGGCAACTTTGGCAGCTCTGGCAGCAATATCCGAATAAGGATCATAAGCATCATTAAATCAGCATTAAAAATTTATGTACGCATAAAATGTCGATAATAAATGATTTATATGAAATATGCCCTCGATATGTGGCACAACATTATGCATAGTAAATGTAGGCGAAAATTATGATTTCCACGCAGTGACACGGTATTTTTTAATTGCTATAAATGACAACATAATTAAATCACAAGTACGCACGGATTAACACATTCACTTCATGCGTTCATTATATACTCGACTCGTACTTCCACCTATCCACCTATGCCTTATGATATTACAGGCGAGGAGGCTGTATGCGAGTATGAACAATGTTGCATGCGAGTAATTCAGTTGCATTTGTTGTCATAATTTTTTAAATGATAATTTTTATCATTTTTTTTACTGTTAAGAGCAAATTAACGAAATTAAATATTTGTAAAAAATTTTTGACATTGAAAAGCCATTTTAAATTGCTTTCTCCTTTAATTGAAAATTTTGTACGTAATGTGCAAAAGTCTATCTTAATGGAGAACAGCTGTCAGTTATGTTGATTACTGATATTTATGAATTTTAATGCAGTATGAATGGATTAATTTTCAACATTATCTGTAATTTCTGTATAAGAAGTATTTTTATTGTTTTAAATTTACAATACAATTACAATAACAACAAGAAAGTATTTTGAAAATTTTCAATATATTTTTTTTAAATTCAATATCACATCACTGATTATTGCTTATTATGATATCGCAACATTAGAATATTGATTAAATCAAGACAGCTTGCACATAATAATATTTAATATTAGAGCAATTTATATTATAATCTTTAGGAAATCATTAAATATAAATTAAATAGCACTTTTGGACTATTTTATAAACACAAACAAATTTTGTATCTTATGGAAAAATAACTAAAACAATAATGAATGATAATGATAAAATAACTAAAACAATAATGAATGAATAAACTTACATAGCGTTGAAAAGAATGGTATACACAGTGTGTATTACACACCATTGTACCTTAAAAACTCGTATCTTCATTGACCCCTTAAAAAATGAAAACATTGATTAATATATAAGATACAAGGCAATGAAACTTTTCTAAAAAAGAAACAACTACATTAATTCAACACTAAACTTGTTAAAGATGCATTTAAATTTGTATCTTCATTCTTCTTTGTTCCGTTAACTCCTAGTAGAGCATAGGGCCTCAACAATTCCTCTGAACTGTATTCTATTTGGAGCAGCCGTGCAGATGTCGTTCCATGAGTAGCGCGCTGATATTAATTCTGCATCAATTGTCCTTTGCCCTGTTCTTATAGGAGCGCCAGGCCGGCGACTACCCTGCGGGTTCCATTTTGGGGCTTGCTTAGCGATACAGGAGTTCGATTTGCGTAGTGTATGTCCGATCCATTGCCATTCTCGTTTTTTGATTTTGCTCTCGACGCTTTGCATATTTACTCTTTTCAACAATTCTGCATTGGAGGTGCGTTCTGGCCATCATATTTTTAGTATGCGTCTTAGACATTTGTTTATGAAGACTTGGGTTAGTGAGTTGATCGATCTAGTAAACTTCCATGTTTCGCAATTTTTCACTTAACCAGTTAAAATTGCTTCCAAAAATATATATACCTATAAGTTTCAAAACAATGAAAACGTAAGCAACTATCGTAATCAAACATTTAACCACCTGAATTCCTTTGTAACGCAAACATTAAGTGAAATCATGTATTTTAAACTATATCTTTATTGAGTAGGAAGAATACTGATTTGTCTTTACGCTAGCGATATT